CTAACAGAAGGGGACTCCCAGGCTGGTACTTGGTGAGTTTCCAGAGAGGGGGAAGTATCTGTCGCCCTTGGTAGCTGGGCGGGTGGGAGACCGAGCGCCGGGCTCCCTGAGTGCAGTGGCCGAGGACACATAGCTGTCATCTGAATTGCCATTTGATGCCACCTCTAAAGATTCGATCTAAGCTAAGGATTCCTCAGGAAGAAAGCCGGAATGACAGTGTACCTGATACTGGGGCAACAAAAACAAAACCAAAAAAACACCCCACAAAAGTATTGAACATAAAGGCACTTTATAAAGTATTTCAAAGGTTTGTCATCTTCCACCGTAGACATCTGCAAATATTTGCTGCGCGAGTTTTATCCTTATGACAGGAGAATATCCATGAAGACTTAGAAACATGCTACCAGATGGATGCTCAAAAGAGCCTGTGGAAAATTCCAGTAGAGAGTTCTCAAGATCCGGTCCAGAGGTCAGCAGGGGATCTTTGTTTCATGGTCTCTCAGACCACAGTCCACACTTCCCACCCCGCCACCCCATCACAAATAGGAAATGACCCTGAAAGATGGCTCAATAGTTGGAGGTTAAAGGCAGCAAGCCCGCAACCCTGACAGGAAGCGACATGAGAGAGTCAACATAACACCAACAGCACATGGAGAGTTGCTTCTTTTTTTTTTGGCTTGTTTTTTTCCACCATTGAGAGCATTTCTGCATTCTAAAAAGTTATGCTGGAAGGCAGGTCGATCAGCTAACACCATCTGGGTTTTCAGTAAATTTTAAACCTTCTAATGCAAGAACCACATGTGTGGATCCCATACAGCAGAGTGGTTATGCATGACAACACCTGAAACCAAGATAAATGACCATTAATGGGCACACGGGGGGAGAGGGCAAGGCATGGGTAGTCATACTTGGCCCGCCGCTCACATGGGCCTGGGGACCACACACATGGAGTGTGGGGACCGCCTCTGCTTCCCATCACTCAGGCAGACATCCTCTCTTGCTGAGCACAGATACGGCCCCAGAATGCTTTCGGCACACAACTCCAGGTGCCCTAATGATCCACCAGACATGGCGTGCAAGGTCAACTATCTGCCACTGCACATCATCATGTTGGTGCCACCCAACTGGAAATGGGGGCCCTTGGAGGCCCCTCAAATGATACACAGGCGAGTATCAACTTCTCTCCAAGGGAAAACTCCTTCCTCCACACCAGTGACACCAGAGCCCACCAGCTGTGATCCCAGCGGCCTCAGCGAGGAGAATATGAGCTCATGGGATTGCTGACTCTGGTTAAGTTCTCCATGCTGCCTGGACACCCTCAGACCCCTCTCAGAATTTTGTTCTGGATTCTTAATTTCACAGGCATGGGCAAGGGAGCCAGCCTCACAGGACTGAGGGACAGGGACGGGGAGGAGGATTTCGAGCTTTTGCAAAAGGAGCGGGCTGACTGAGAAAGCTGCTGGGAGGACTCAATCAGCTGCTTTGGTGCTGGGAAGAAAGACCCTGGAAATGCAGCAAATGGTCACTCGGTGGCCTGTCAAGCCCCTGATGTGCTGTGTCACGTGGGCACCATCTATTCCTAAAGACTTGCCTGCCCCCAAGTCCAATATCTGTACCTGTGACCTTGGGCGTAGGGTCAAGAGTTACCAGCCCAGGCACAACATTTAGGGCGGCTACACTTCCGTGACCCTTGAAAATGCCCATAAACACCAGCCGTCCCTGAGCCTGCTCTCTCCCTGCCCCACACAGGGGTGAACCCTTCACCCTCATGGCCAGAGGTGATGAGTAAGCTGAGTTATTTAATAACAAATTTAAGAGAACTCATCCGGGAACTCTGAAGTACCCTGGCTGAAAGGAGCAGTCACACGTGTGTGAGCAGCCCCCAAAAAAACACCTCTCCCGCTCAGGTGGGAGCAATTTACTGTCTGAGCTGTTCCAGACCCCGTGAGAACCCTTGGCAGAGGCACCTCAGAAGGCCCCAGAGGAACAGGAAATAGAGACTTATTTCCCAAGTGAGGGCAAGAAATGGCACCTTAGGGACATTGACAGCCAGGGACATGAAGGGACGCCCTTAGGTCTTCAGAAACCCGTCTCTCTAAATGGCTATCATTATTGCCCACCACTGTTAAGATCCAGAAACCTCCAGATTTCTGCAGAAATTTGCAGCTACCCTCAGTCAGCTCCCACCAATCCCAGGGGTCCCTTCGGTGCAGACTCTCTGCTGCCAGCAAAGGAGGGGGAGAAGCTCCGCTTTTGAGGCAGGTCCCGATCAGGAACCACAGAGGGCGAGAGGCAGGCCAGATGCTTCCAAAGGCCAGGGGTGTGTGGGAGAAGGTCTTGAGACGCCTCCCACACCCCGGACTGGCCATCCCTGAGACCACGGGAAGGGCATGTGATGGTTGGGCGGGGTCTGGGGTTAAATCCTCAGTAATCATGACTCCTCCTCCCCTGTGCACTGACACAATTGATATTGTGAATAGAAAGGCGAGACTTCACAGTGAACCAGGCTTGTATTTCTCCTTGGTGGTTTCAGCCCAGCGCCCCTGCCTGCTGAGAACATCTTGATTCTTGATTCTGGCACTCCTGACTGTGCCTGGGCATGCTCATGTTTCTCCACCTCAACTAACAAACAGAGAGGACACGATCAATGGTGGACTGCATAAAGAGACGCTGGTGTAGTCATGAATGGACTAATCCACAGCAACGAGAATAAACACTCTACATCTCCACCCAACAATGAGGATGAGCCTCACACACCTAAGGTGGAGAGAAAGAAGCCAGATGTAAAAGAACACACATTGTGTAATTCCATTCACATGAGGTTCACAAGCAGGCCTAACTGAACTAGGCAGCTAGAAATCAGGACCGTGGTCATCCTTGGTGTGGGTGCACAGTGACAGGGGCAGGACAAGAAGGGGATTTCTGGGAGCTGTTCATGATGTTCTATTTCTTAATCTGGATGCTTGTTACACAGAGGGGCTCACTTTATGGAAACTCATCAAGTTGTGCACTTGCATCCTGCTCACTTCTCTGGACATGTGTTGCAGTTCAATAAAAAGTAAAAGAGAAGTTGGAACACGGTGGAGCCCAGTGGTTCTCAGCGAGAGATCTGCAGCGGGCAGGGGCATTAATTCAGCCCATCTGGGTTGATCCATCAAGTGCTGACCCACTAGCCACATTCCATCTACATTTCATTACCACTGTCTGCAATAATTTTACAGAACTTGTTGTCAAACGCTTTGCTGATGTCTGTTTGGAGAGAAGACTTCCGGGGTTGGGATGGGGGGAGGTATAGGCTCTCTAGATGAGGGGGAGATGAAACAGAGTCTTTTGAAGGATAACATAGGAGGCAGATTACCAGCCTCCCAAGGGAAGGGAGAGTAACCTAGGGGCTAAGTGGCTGGGCCTCTCTTTAGAAACCAGCCGTCTTGGGAGATGAGCCAATATGGGAGACATTCCCACACTGCGGGACATTTGAGGGGGTGCAGGGACCATGAGCTGGCCATGTTGATGAACTGGGGAGTAGGCTGGCAGCTTAAGAGGAGCATGTGGCTTCCCTGGGGCAGGAGATGGGCCCACAGGGACCAGCAGACAGTGCTTTGAGGAACTTTCCCCCAGAGCCCAACAGTGCCCACCCTGGGCGTTTTCTCTCAGCCTCTGCTCTGTCCTCTCCAAAACAGGGGGACAGCTCAGCTTTGGCACCTGGAACAGACATCCTGTGATCTGTTGTTACATGTGACCTTGGGATTTCCATAATTCATAGGTTGACCTCTAGAAATTTGAGGAGTGCTACTTCTGAAACTTTTTCTTATTTCTTAAACAATACCCATGGTTAGAAATACATCTTATGTGGTGAGTTAGCAAACTGGTGCAAACCCACCCATGCACAGCTCTGGAAAAAACTGTTATGAAACAATACATTCTCTCCCTCCTGTCATTCCAACCCTTCCATCAAAAAGAAAATTCAGGTCATGACCTCACCCACCAATGGGTCTGGCCCTGCAGTTAGAGAACGTTCCTTTTAGAGCTCAGAGACCTGCACCCAATGTTCCCCACAGTGACACAGTGCACACCCCCATTTGTTCTGCTGATGGGGTGAATGAGCTTCAAGCCCCTGTTCCACGCAGTGCTCCTGAGGCCTCAGGAGAAAGCTGTTTAATATCTCTGCAGTCCTCGAGGGAAACACACAGGAATTACCATCTCATTTCATAGATGAGCAGCCGAGGCCCAGAGAGCACAAGGAACCTGCACAGGGAATTGGTGGAGACATGAACTCCAGCCCCTCCTCCCCGCACAGGTTCTCAGAGCTGTGGGGCAGGAGACACCGTCATGAAGAGCTGAGGGCCTAATCGCAGAAGCAAACACCCTGAGCTTGGGGTCTGGACTCGCTGGGCCCAGAAGGGCCTCCCCACAGCCCCAGCCCCAGAGTCAGGGCCTGGGGAGACAGTGGCCACTCGATTATCCAGCCCAGGCCTCAGTTCTCCCTGCCTGACTGTGTGCTTCCACGGAAGAGCACTCAGGGAGAGCCAGGAGACCCAAGTGGCCACACTCACTGCTCCAAACTGGTGCTGAGTGTGGGTGACAGAGCACCTGGCCTGGACACCAGCCCCACCAATTCTTGGTGATCTGGAACAGGTTATCCATGCTCTTGGTGTCCTGGCTCTCCATCTGTGAAATGGGGATGATGATAGCGCCTACATCCCAGGGCTGTTGTGAGGGTTCAATAGGATTGTTCATGGAGAGCTCAGACAGTGCCGGGCACTCAGCGCTCATGTCTCCTCACACATCTGCCCTCCACAAAGCCCACCCAGGCATGGACCCCCTGGCCTGCCCAGGCCTGGGCAGCGCAGCACTGACCGGATGACGAAGGGAGTCTTGGGCACATCCCTTCCCTTCTCCGGGGCTTTGTTTCTTCAGAAATGAGGGGAAGGTTCATTTCTTTCAACAGTTAGTGAACTAAAATAAAGATGGGAGGGCTCGGGCAACCTTCCTCTCAGACCCTGTGTCAGTGGGTGGTGGGAGCTGTGAACATGGGCAGGTTGACTGGGAGACTCACCGTAGCAATGATGTTTTCAAGGTATTGTTCGTTTGTGAAGTCCACCTCATAGTCCACAATGTTGGTGGCCAAACCTTCCAGGATAGAGGCGCTGAGGTAAAACAGCGTGGCCAAAGAGTGGTAGACTGTCTCCTGCAGAGTAAGAAAGGGCCATCAGAGAGATGGGGAGCCCAGACATGGAGATGTGGGGCAGTTGTGGTCCCAGCAAGGCCAGTCTACACCACCTGTCCCCTCCCAGCATGCTCAGGTCCCTTGGTCATCTTCTGCTACTTCCTTTGACTCCCACGACCCCATCCACCATCACCATATCCTCCAACCCCCTCCTCACAAAGGTCCTTTGCCCTGCTGAGTTTTATCTTGCTGGTTTGGGGGCCACAAGAAGGACTTCAATGGAGAAGGGACACTGCTTTCTCTCAGGGAGGATCAAGTGATGGGGGGCAGCTTGGACTTGAACAGGTAGAAAGTAATTCTGGACCTGAGAAGTGTCATCCATGGTCACAGTCCTGGTTCAGATGTGGCCTTGGTGACAAGTGCACGTGAGAGGCACCTAGGCCATTTCCATTGTTGTTTTGTTCATTTTGGGGGTGGGTGGGCAAGGGGCTGCAGGTATGTTTACCAGTAAAAAGTACTAGAATGGAGTTTTGAGTAGCTGTAATTTGGAGATGATTTCACAAGTGTAAGTAGGAGACCTTTTGAGAGTGAGAGGCCCGGCCAAACGGCCCCAACCCCCTTCCAGGGGATGTAATGGGCAGAGGTCTATATGTAAGTTTCATCCTCTGCATGGGCCTCAAGGCAGAATTTATGCGGAATAGAGACCACAGGCCATCTCTCTCCCCCACCAAGCCCCTCTCTGGTGACCCAGCTTTAGAAGGTTGTGACTGGGAGCTGGGGTGTAAGCAGGGCCTCACATGGGCAGCCAAGGCCAGTCCCCAGGACCCTGCTCCCCCGAGATGGAACCCAGCCCTCCTGGACGATAGGAGGTGCCAACAGGCCCTGGCAGGTGCAGGCAGGATGGGAGGGGGGTTGAGCTGCTGGTTATCCATGAAAAGGCCATCCTGCAGGAGGAGGCAGAGAGCCCCAAGGGGATCAGACAGCGACAGCCACCCTCTGCCCTCACCTCCTCCTGACCTCGCTGCAGGAGCCCTGGGCTGCTGTGCACACTCGGAGCTGAAGGCCTGGCCAGCTCAGCCTTGGGACACGGGTGGGAGACTCTACAGGGCAGCCTCACCCAGCACTGGAGAAGCCAGCCTCCCAGGGCAGAGGGTCCAATACTACCCACCCCCTCAAACATCCAGGAATGCGACTCACCAGGGTTTCCCAGGAAGCCTTCTTACCATGGGCACCAGTTATGTAGACGAAGAGCAGGGCTGTGGTGCTGATGAAACAGAACATAGACACGAACACCACCCAACCCTGGAACAGGGGGAGGGGCACCTGGGACAAGGCGATCAGGATCCACACCAGGCCCCCCAAGACCTGCAGAGGGAAGGAGGGCAGGGGTGAGCATTGGACCAGGAGAACCCACGCCCAGGAAGGGCCAGACCCAGAGGTCACGCTGGGGCACGAGGGACAGAAAAAACAGGAAAGAGGCAGAGAACAGCAATGGGCATTTTCCTCACCAAAAATGACTCTTTCAGATATGAGAGAGAAGTCAAGATGTCTGCATAGGCAGACTCTGAACTCACCTCCTCCCGTGGACACAGCCAATTTACAACTACTCGTGGAAAAATTACCCGAGACAGAAATGAAAATTGGATAAGAGGGACTCCTGCAACAAAGGACAATCCTAATTGAGGTGGAAGAGGCAGAAACTCCCTTCTGGAGAGGAAAAACGCTGCCTTCACAAGTCGCCAGCTTCACAGCCTCCCGGGAGTAGCCCAAAGGTAGGCAGCCTCCCTGGAGGCACAGGGCCCTGAGCCGGGGGGCACCCCCGCTGTGGGCATT